CCTTCGGGAAGAAGCAGGCGGCCGAGGAGGAGCGGTACTTCAGGTGAGCGGGGCCCGGGGCCTGCGGAGCCGCTCCCCGTGAGGCCCGGGCGGCCTCTCCCGGCTGCGGGGATACACTCGTGCCGTCCTCTCTTGCAGGGAAAAGGAGCGGGAGCAGCTCTCTGCCTTACGGAAACACCACGAGGAGGAGATCCACCACCACCAAAAAGAGATTGAGCGTCTGCAGAAAGAAATTGAGCGCCATAAGCATAAGATCAAGCAGCTTAAAGATGACTAAGCTGGTGCTGTTGTTGAATGTGCATGGCCAATACTAATAATGGTGTAAAACAGCGTGAAGACTGTATTTTTTGGTCTACATAATCCAAATCCATACAATTATGTCTGCAACAACATCAAATAAACTACTCAGCTTCACTTTCTTGCTCAGTAACTGTTCAATGCAAACAAAAACAACCAACCTCACTATCTGGTTTTAAACTTAATTTTCTTTCAAAGTAAAGCTGCACTCTTGAGTAGGCAGGCCTGTACAGAACTGAGCTATTTTTTTTAGATTTGGATGAAAGAAATGACCATTTGTGCCTAGTGGGATAACTTTAAAGTTAAAGCTGCAAGAAGAATTGGGGGGAAATAGTACCTGTGTAGCAATCAATTAACTGAGAAGAAACTTTGTAGCCTAGAGGGGTGTTATCTCCACTGAACTAACAGATGACAAAAAAAAAAAAAGAAGTTCACTTGTTGCACTTTGTGTTTAGTGCCATAAACTGAGAAAGAAAAATAGTGTTCTAAGTTATGCTGGTGTCACTTGTGGTGGTCCTAATTCCTGGAGCAAGACAGCTGAGATCCTGACTTCCATGTTAATGTTCTTTTCCATAATGACTTTAACTGCCCAGTAGATTAGGTTTTTTTTTTACCGTCTCGACTTCTCTGTTGGTTAGCTAAGTCTCTTTCCAAAGAAGGATGGATTCAGACTAATTTTATGCAGTTTCAATCACTTTTGACATTTTAATGTAGGAAACTCATCATAAAATACACAGTAAGTGACCTGAAATAATGTGCCCTTACTGCAGTAAGCACTGACAAGAAGGGGACTTTATCAACAGGCAGGTAAGAAAAGAGTCTTTCCTTCTACACCTGCACTGTGATGTCTGTCCATCTCCCCAAACAGACTTACTGTGCAGCTCTGGTGAAAAGCTGCCTGTGTTACAGTCAGTGGAGGGCGACAACAACATTGAACTGGGTGGGTCCGTGCCTGGAACTGCCCCGTCTGAAAGTGGAGAAGGCAAATGATGCCTTTGATGTTGAAAGTGGTTTACAAGGGTGTGACTAGCTGGCTGAAGGTGTCCCAGTTTCTGCTGTGTTTCCTGATACGTTCCCAGCCAGCTGCTCCCTTTGGGCTGCCCTCACTTGGCGAATATTGTGAATATTGTCCGTGGTACATCTTGTCTGCAGAATAGATGACACCACTGTCACTCTGATGCCCTTAAACACTGTTCTTCAATGAAGATGTCACCCATGTGATCATCCCTGGAAGAGATGCTATGGAGTGTCCTTTCCTGGCCATGCTCAGTCTGTGAGAGATGCTGTGCTGAGTTCTGCCAAGGGTCTGCACAGAGCTTTGCTGTGGGCTTTGTTCCTTTCAGCTGGGGCTAATTAACACAATATAACTACCTTCCCCACCTCTCTGAACCTGGTGAGATGAACTAAGTCATGAAAAGCAATACGCTATCGACCTGCTTGGGTTATACCTATTTAAAAATCAAATTTTTTACCTTTTTCAGAATGTTTTTCCAATTGTATCTGTCAGCTGGGGTTGGCTTCCCCAAAAGCTGCAGAGTCACTAGTGAGAAGTTTGGCATAACAGCTTCAGTGGACTGTGGAGAGCTGGCATAAATATTGAGACAACTTTGTATTCAGAAGGGAAGAGCTGAGGATTTAAATTCATGTCTCTGGGTTTTATTCTGCATTTTGGTGCACTAACTATGCCACAGAGCCTCTGCCCAAGCACCTGTAAGGATTTGCTATGAGACTGGGAATGCAGGGCTTTGGAGCTTTGTGATCTACTGTGCCACAGACAGAGGTGCTACAAACTCTGAAGTCCCTCAGGGCTGCAGTGTGCAAGTCAGTACCTTGCTACACCAACATATGACATGAGCATTTGAATGACCTGCAGCAAGCAGTTTGTCTGGGTTCAGTCTCCACTTCCAGGCCCATGGATGGAGAGATGCCAGCTACAGAGTGTTGGCTGCAGGATTCCAGAGCAGGAATGCTAGGGAGTAAAACAAGATTATAGCTCAGAGCTAGCTGATTGCTGGGGACACAAGTTGTCTCGAGACCTTTCCAGAACTCCCCCTCAGTCTGTGTGACCAGGAAGACAGGGCTTAGCTCCCTCTCAGAAAGCTACAAACTTCTGCCATCTGCTTCCAGGCAATTCTGGTTCAGAGCAACCAAAATCCAAAGTTGATGTTTGAAACTGGTAAGGCTGCAAGGATAGTGCTGAACTCAGATAACAGGCCATAGAGGGGCTAATTGTTCTGGCTTTGCTCAGTCTCTCTGGAATGGCTGATGGCATGACTAGTGCCCTGCCTTGTCCCACAGGCACAGGGGTACACAAAGGAAGGGATTCTTCTCTCTTCTCTGCCAGAGCTGCTGCATCTTGGTTATTTGCTAGATCTTCAGGATTGGACTTACCCTGTTCACAACACCCTGACTTCCCACAGCCACCTACTCTTAACTCCATGAAGAGTTTCACTTCTTGAAGCCGCTGTTATGTCTCAATGAGATGCTTATCCTTCCTTAACACCAGATCCTCTGTCTGCACTGTGCTTCTAAAGATCACAGCCTAACACTGCTTGGCCACTGCAGGAGCAGGAAAACTGCAATTTGTTTTCAGCTAAAACTGAGCTGGTGATTTTTGCTGCAGCAAACAGAAGCTATTTCCCAAGTTGCTCTGTTTGTGCTGCATCCTACACATTCCATCCTGTGATGGAAATTGCCAAGAATCCTTGGCTCAGGGGTGGGGGGAAAAGAATGAAAAGAAAGGAAAGTGAGATCCAAGATCTTTAGCAAGCTGTTTTTAGTGCAAGGTACCCAGGTAGGCCAGTCTGGTCTCTTTGAGCCTTTTTGTCACATTCAACCTCTCAATTCCAGAGCAGATAAAAGGGAAAGAGGCAAGACAAAGACAAAGCACATGTGTATGTTTTCCTAAAAATCAAATACACTGACTGTGAGGCAAAAAAAAAAGTATGTGCACAGGGTAGTAACAGTAGCCTGGCCTCTGCAGGCAGTAATTTTCCTGAGCATTTCCCTGCTGTAGAGATGGTGGAACACACTGGAGGTGCTCAGAAAGTTCCTTTTATAAATAAAGCTTAAAGATTTTTAAGACAGACCTTTCCCTGAAAGCCTGGGATTTAGCAAACACATAAGAGCTGCACACAGAGCTCCTGAACAAGGTATTTGCTGGAGGGAGGCACGTCTGTAACATATCATCCATAATATGCTGCACTAATGATTGGCCAGGATAAGAAGTCTAGAGCATCAGGAAATGTCATATTCCATAAATAAGTTAACAGCTCACCTACAAATTACAGCAGATTCAACTCTGTCGTCTTGCATTGATGTAGAACACAGGAATTTCAGCCCAATGTGGAAAAGAAGTGACAGACTGATGGGAACACGCTGAGCCTCAGCAACCTCTGGCCACTGAACATAGGAAAACGTCAACAGGTTGTGGAGTAAATATACAGAGCTGTGGAAAAGCTGGATCCCTTCACTTCCTTTGCTCTGTCCCCTCCACGAGTTTGCTCAGCGTTTCCCCCTGCAGGACTCGAAGGTGCTGAAGGGGCAGGGCAGGGCAGCCTCCTTGCCAGAGGCAGGCTTCTTCCTTCTGCATGGTCAGGGCAGCAGGACTGTCCTGCCCTCCCAGCTCTCAGCAGCTGAGATTAACCCCCTCCTTGGTTCCAAGACTATTTTTATTTTGCCTTGGCTCAATACTAAATCAGATCTTGCACGAACCTGCTCAGCTCCAATCATAGAGTGCTGTAACTAGTCTCATTCTGGGATTTTCTAGCAAAAATTAAAATTCAGTAATCTAGCAAAAATTTAAATTTTATCATCTCAGACCATCTAGGGTCTCCTCTCAGCCACAGCTTGCGACAGCACTAACCCAACTACCTGCAGGCTATAGCTTGTTCCTGGTTAGGGGTGTCCGAAGTTCAGATCATTTTGGGCTGAGGCTAGAGTGTGGAACATGAGATCAAAGAACAAAGCACTGCAAAGCACACAGAAGCTAGGGTGGTAATTGCTAAAGATATTATGAAAATTATTCTCAATTTATTACACTGCAGAAACATACATACCTCAATATACATTTTGCTTATTAGCCTCATCATGTTCAGTTGCCAGCTGACAGGACATACATCATTATACCTCATAATTCACTCCTGGACACTCTATTATAAAAAATTTAAGAGCTTTGTGAGACATTTAGTGCTGCTTAATAGAACCACTAAGGATGCTCAGCTCCCTCAATTACTCTCAATATTTGTATTGCAGGAACTCCTTTAACTTATCATTCTTAACTCCCAGAAAAACCACTGCAGCGAATTGGGATGGACAAAGCAATGAATGATTACCCCTCTTTCCATCTCTGCACCACAGCAGACCCTACATCCAGCAATGAAGAGCTGGCTGTACTGCCAAATCTCAAGAGGGAAGTCACTGAAGCAGTGCCAATTCTACAAAAGAAGCAGCATGTCTGCCACCAGACAGGTTCAGCAAGACAGACTGAACACCTCCAGTATCTGCACAACCTTGCTTCCAGCTTCTGCTTTGGCAATATTGGACATCACGTACCACTTTTCCACTTTTTCCCACGTGTCCCTCATTACCAGTGGTGGGATATCTCACATACGTGATTCACCACACAGGTACATGCCATCTTCAGGAGAGTAATTTTGGGATGAAGGTACTGGAAGAACCTTTTCTGAGAGTATGTGAGCTGCTGCTTTTCTTTACCAGACTCCAGACGCACAGTTCACACGGCCGTAGGAACACACGCAGCTTCTCTGGGTTTAGTTTGTCACAGCACTCTGGGACTCAGCCTGACCCAACCCAGCACACATTGACTTCCACGTTATGCAACAGCACGGCAAGCACGTGAAGGCCGCACGACACCATCGGTGCCGACAGGCTGATTTCTTCCTTATCTATTTATTGTGTCCAGTCTGCACTCATCGAAAGCCTGATCAAGCAAATCTGGTGAGCAGGTAAGTAAGACTTAATCACCGATTAATTAGAGATTAGCAGCTGCAGAGCCTCGCACGCCAATGTCTTGAGATGAGCCTGACCCGCAGCCGCACAGCTTCTCCTCCTCGCCGCGGGCCTGCAGGGCAGCGCAGCCAGACTCGGTCCGGGGGCTCACACGAGGCACAGCCCGGAGAGCACGAGAAGCCCCACGGGCGGGCAAGGCCGCGCCAGGGTCCCGGGCGCACCGTGGGCAGCGGGGCCCGGGGTAGCTCCGGTCCCGGTTTCGCCCCCTCAGCGCAGGCCCCGCCCCGGGCGCGCGAGGCGGAGCCGAGCGGAGCAGCCCCGCGCGCTCCCTTTGTTCGGGTCGCGGGAGGCGCTGCCCCTTTAAATGCCCCCAGTCCGGCCCTACCGGCGCGCCGGGTGGAAGGCGCCCTGTGATTGGTTACGGCGCCTCGCTCTCATTGGCCGCCGGCAGGACAGGCGCGTCCCGCCTCTCGCATCTCATTGGCTCCGCCGGCTGCCCGTCCGTAGCGCGGGCTCCTGAGTGGGCGAAGCAGCGGTCCCTGGAAACAGTTCCGGGAAACCCCGCGTGCTGCCGGGGTCGCGCCGCCGTCCATGAGGAGAAGGAGGAGCGCGCGCCATTTGCCGTCGCTGCTTGGGCCCGAGCTGCGCCGCGCCGGCCACGCTCCGGTGAGTGCCGGCGCCGCCCCGCGGGGCAGGGGCGCTCCGCGGCCGCGCCGAGCCGTCCTGCGTGGGCCCCGCGAGGGGACGGGCAGCGCGGGCTGCGGGCAGGCCCGGCGCGGGCGGGGACGGGCCCGGGGCGCTGGCGCGGCGGATCGGAGGGGGGCGGGGGCCATCGCGGGGCTGCTCCGCGGGCAAGGCGGGCGGGCGCGGGCGCGGGAGCGGCGCCGGGGAGGGGCCGAGGGCGGGCCCGGCGGGTTGGTGTTGGGGGGGGGGGCGGCCCGCTCCGCCCAGCCTTGCGGATCAGGGTTGCATGTGACGGACAGCCGGGACGCGCCTTTCCCGGGGCTTTGGGTCGGGTCGGGTCCCTGCTCGGTCCCTCCGGGCTCTTAAAGCCGCACCAACCGCGGCGGTTGCGGCTGTGCCCGGTCCGCTCTGCCCGCAGGCACAGAAGAACGCTCTCACAGCAGATGCGTCGCCGCCGCAGCGCGCCCTTAGGTCTTAGGTAGCGCTAATGTGGCCGAGCCGGGAGGGACAGCTGCACCCCCCGCAGCGCTCGGGCTGCGCTTCCTACTTCCATCGAGGGAATAGCGCTTGTCAAGCACTTAAAGGAGAAACTATCCAAAGTTTTGTTGTTAAGACGTTGTTTTTCTTGAATTAACTTTTGTCAAAAGCCTTTACTAAATCTTGAAAAGTTTTGTTTAAATGCATCGTTGTTGCAAATACTTTAAAAATAGGACTTTATTTACTCGGTCTGAGCAGCCTTGTTACCTGTCAGTCTTTGAACATGCTACATAAGTACGTAAGCTGTGCTGGACTACTCTTTTTGAAACAGTGTGTTGGGTTCCCTTTCCCATGTTTATGGCTCTAAAGGATCCCACTGGCACTTCGTGCTGCAAAGGACATTAATGCTCATGGAGCTGGTGCTTTGGTTTTTTGATTGGTTGGTGTTTTGTGTTCTTTTTTTCCTTTGAGACTACACTTTAACACAGTTTTTTGCTTTTGTTTTTTACTTGTAAAAGTAATCTTAACGAATTTTGCATCTCCCAGTGTAAGGTTTTTGCATCCTATGCAAAATGTAGAGTTTGCAAACGAGCAGTGGCTGCTTGATAATTTTGCATCCTTGGAATTGTATTTCCCACGAGCTTTACATGTCCTTACCTCTCAGATTTTCTGTCTAGGTGAACATTGTTGAAATAATTCTCGAGTCTCCTGGTAACACTCAAGTTCCTAGTTTAGTCAAAAATCCCCGTACTCCCTGCCTTGTTAGACAGACATCCGCACAATTCTTTGAGGATAAATTCTTCAGAACAAATCTCATTTTTGTTGAAGTGTTACTTGTAACTGGAGTACCAGGAGTGTTGTTTAGTACAACCCAGACAACCAGCTGAGCTATGAATAGCCAACTCCAGCGAGAAATGAGCATGGGCAGACTTTATGGTTTAGGTTAGCAAAACACAGGAGCTGTTGGTGCAATCAGTGTTTTTTAATGGCAGTGATGGGCATGTTGCTAACCTGCTGTGCTAAAGTCATCTCCCAATCATAGTTGTGTGGGTACTGAAGCAGTTTTTTTTTTTTTTTCCTCTGTGGGCTGTGCTGGTCTCTTGCTTAGCATCATACTGGAGGTTGTCAGATTTTCCTAAGGGGCTGTGGAGTGAGCAGGGCTGAGCTGGAGAGTTGAGGGTGCCAGCTGCATTTTGGCTTACAGGTAGTGAGAAATGCTGGCTACTGTGCAAAGGTCTTCAGACTGTGATGGCTTCAAAATAAGGTTTCTTGCAATTCATGCTAAGAAACACTTAGAATATCATAATTAAGCTATTAAAATGTGCTTTCTGTGTTTGAATAAGCTAAGGGACAAAAGAAATAGCTATAATGCCTTGATGTACAGAAATGTTTCTGAACAAATGAGGTTTTAATAAAACCCCAGTTCAGTCTTTAAATGTGAATTTTTATTTCCCCCCCACCTGTACGTTTCTCTTCCTTGCTTGACAAGAACCTTCTTGAAGTGTGAGACATAAGTATAGGGACTGCCCTTGTTTTCCTGTGGTCAATTAAAACAACAAAACCAAACAAATATCTCCCAAACTTCCTTCAGTGTTATATTTAACATGGTTTAACTTAACTGCTTGGCACAGATAATATATTGGTTAGAAGGAGTAGCAGCATAAGCAAGTGGAATTACTTTGGTGCAGAGTTTTTATGTATGCATTAGTTGGCTTCCTGTGCACCTGAGCTAAATAAGTCCCATTCCTGCATGAAACTAAATTTTCAGCAGCAAAACCAGTATTGTTGTATAATTACTGTAAAATTCATTATTGTTGTTTTAGGTATTGTCCTTTTGCCAGAATTTTTCTGTTCCTTCTCAATTAAGCTGTCCCTAAGCATGTTTTGAGTTAACTACACTGAATTCATAATTAATTGGATGGAGTTATACTTAGATAGTCTGTAGGTGGCAACCTCTGTTAGAGGCATGGTATAAGATAAAGGGAATAGTAACATCATGGCTGTTTAACTAGAGATTGTCAGATTAAGGCTGTGATCAGGTCTCTTTTCAAAATGCCATACACTGTCAGGACCACACCTGTTCATTTTTCTCTTTTCCAGAAAAATAACAAATTGAGCCATTTGAGTTATGAACACTGTTAGCACCTGTAGTTTTAACTTCCTACTTGTCATATGAAGGCTTTAAAAAGAGGCTGGTAACTTTGTAAATTGCACTCAAGATGCAGGAATTTTGGATGAAAGATAAACAAAGTGAACAGCTGAAAAAATGCTTTTTATCATGAAGTATTTACAGTCTTCAGAAAAATATTGTTTGCAACAACAGTGTGAAACTTGAAACAAGACCCTTCCCAGTATGCAGTTAGGAAGTGGTGAGGGTAGGTAACATCTTGGGCACCAGTGAGAATTCTCCTTGCCTATGTAAAATTGTCCCCAATTTCTATTTATTACTTCTGCTCATTTGGTAAGCATGGTTTTGTGTACTCTGTTCTAAATTCATCCATTTCTGCATGTTTTACAAACAAATACATAGCCCACATGTAGTTCTATACATAATGCTTTACTTATAATCCAGCCTTGAAGTCTGATTCAACCAGTCTCCCTCTTTTCTAGATATTTTAATATCTTATTTAATGCAATTGAAAAACTGAGTGTGTGCAGGTGCTCTTCTGCATGGCCTGGTCTGTCACAGGCTGAGTCACATGGACACACTGCATACAGAGATCACCCTCCTCTTTAACTTAATGCTTTTAATATTTTTTAGAGCAGAATAAAAATGTTAATCATTGTGTGCTTTACTTACTAAATAAAATTCAGTTAAAAATATTTTTCTAGCTACAACTGACTGATGTTACCTAGAGGGAGAGCTAAACAGTCTTTTTCAGCTATGACTTTAACCCACATATCTCTGCTGAACTCAGAGGGAAGAATCAGTGTTACAATAAGCAATTTTGCTTATTGGTGATTGTTGTGGAAGAAAAGTCAATTCAATTTCAGATTTCAGGCCAAGCTTGCCAATCCATTAGGGGATCTATTGCTATATCTGTGAGAAGAAATGTCTTCTGGATGCTCTTAGTGCCTGAATATTTTGGCAGCTGTGTCACTTCAGAATTTTCTACCGTATATTTCTTTAGGAAAACCTTTTAAATTAAGTTTGTGTGACAGGAAATAGCTAAAATTTGAACACCCAAACAGAACGTGCATTGCACTTGACTTTAGTTCTTTATGAAAATACTAATTCTTAAGCAAAAATAAACAATACAGCCAGTGAATTACATAGCTGAGTATTAATTTATATTGCCTAAAAGCCTACTTTAAAAAGCCTTTGAGCTGTGATGCTGTGTAGTAATCCGATTCTTAGGGTTAGATATTGCTCCCCACGCTGGTGTGTGCTCGTGGTGAAGGCTGATAGCTGTTCTTGCTGTGAATCTTGCCTGTCAGAAGTTTGAGTCACTGTTCTCCAGAAGAGGTGTTTCTACCTGGGCACAGCATAACTTGTCAAACTTTTGTTCACTTTTAGGCAACACTGAACAAAGTGTTAAACTTTTGGGTATGTGACACTTGGAACCTACTCTGGGTTAACAGAAAACTGTCCTTGAGTGTCACCATAAGCCCTCGTAGTTCAGAAGGTTCTAGTAATTGCTTCAAGGAAATTTTCTGTATTTATGTGTTACTGTAGCCTCTCAATTCATTGTGATTTTTTTTTTCCTGTGTACAGAGAAGACAGTATACGTGTAATTAAATTATTTTATAAGGCAGTAGAAAGGCAAACACAAAAATGCCCTCCTCTTTGTGTCTTTTTTGTGTGTCTCAGCTTGTGAACTTTTGAGAAGATGGGTTGAGAATGATACTGTACCCCAAGCATTTTTGGAGTAATTAAACCCCCTCTGCCCTGCACTGTTTCAAATTGGAGATCTCGCTGAGGCTTTCTAGCAAGCAGACATGTAGCTGAGTTTTGCCTTCGTGATGTTCACAACCTACAGAAAATTGATGTTCATTAGAGTTTTGATAGTTAATACCTGTAAGGATAGGTAAGCATTATTGCAGCTTCAGGTAGCATTTTTTTTTTTCTTCTGTAATTAGGCTATAGTTGCTTTTAAGTAAACTGAATTGGTTAGAAAGTAATTTCTCTTTGTCAAGTTACAGAATATGTGTATATATATATATGCCATGTAGCTATGGAAGACTTCCTTGCTTTTCCACACTAATGGCTTAAAGAAGTGGCATCTGACAGAAAACAGTGTGAGGCTGCTTTACATGTCTCTAAAATTGCCCTTCAGGATAAGACAGCTTTAGTAAAATCATTACTGTCTGAAGAAAAATGATTTGGTTTTTTTTCTTCCCTTGCTCTAGCTTGCAAATCTTCATAGGATATCTTCCAACCAGTTCATGAGGTGTAGTCTGGAAAGGTTGGGTGTTCAGGGGACTGTTAGAGGTGTGCTTATGCTTGGAGACCTGTTTTGCAGCGTAGCAAATAGCTTGAGGCCTCAGCATGTTTTAAAAAACCTGTTCTTGAATCATCTTCATACCTGTATTCCAGTACTTAATTGCATTGCTCCAACCATGCTGCATTGTCTACCTGGTTATCATTTCGCTGCTGCTCATCAACTTCTGCCCTATCAATTAAAGCCTGAGGCTTGTTTCCTTTCTGAACCTAACAGCTGATCATCCTTATGTTCTCTGCCGGGTAGTTGAATTGTCTCTTGGCAGCCTTTTTATTTGAAAGCACTGAATATCAGCTGGCTGGCTAATTGGGAAATTGAAACAGTCTTTAATGAATTGGGCAAAGCCCACTGGAATTGTCTGAGAAGATAGCTGTGCATTTTTCGGTGCACCTATTTGGAATCAGATTGTTAATTCTGAAAGCAAGTACTTCTATTAACGTAAAGAACTGAAGATGCTGCAGTCATGCCTTCCTTTTAAACCAATAAGGTATCTATTATTGAAATAGTAGCTGTGATTTGTACAGCTCCTATTTGAGGGAAACTGAAAGCATGGAAACTGTTGCATTGCAGCTTCAAAATGACAATGTCCATCAAAGTGCAATTTTTCTCTTTCTGTCCTTGAGTTCTGACAGCGCCGTGAGAAAACGTGTGGCTAGTGTTGTGCAGCATGTTGGGTTTGAAGGAAGACATGGCAACAAGCCAAGCAAGTGGAAATAAGTATTAACAAGAAACAAGTATTAACATTTTTATACCTTAAGCTACTCTGCAGGGTTATGTGTTCACTACATTTTTAAACGCTTGTTTTCAAAGTAGCGGAATGGGAAATGGAAATAGCACTAGATCTTCTGAGTCTTTGCTGAAGGATGTTACTGCCATGTCCCCATACATTCTAGCTGCTATGGTAACCAGTTAATGACAATCAGTAGATGGAGTTTAGACATTGTTATGTACATGAAGTACATTTTTTTTTAAAGTTATGTAAATTCTTCCATGTACATTTTCCACAGTATTAAGGGTTGTACTTTCTTTTGAAACTTAGATCAGCTGCATCCAAACAGTATTAAATAAAACTTGATACAGGTGATTTTGCAGCATGTATACAAATTAGTTTAGATAAATCATGCATTGTCCTACAAACTAGTTATTTCTGGCTTATTGTAATATAGCTCCTGAATTTTTTCCAGCAGCATAATAAAATGGCTAATCAGGTGAATGGTAATGCGGTACAGTTAAAAGAAGAGGAAGAACCAATGGATACTTCCAGTGTAACTCACACAGAACACTACAAGACACTGATAGAGGCAGGCCTCCCACAGAAGGTGGCAGAGAGACTTGATGAAATATTTCAGACAGGTATAATATGCATTTCTTGTTTCTGATTGGTTATGAAAGTGAGGGCATACCATTTTCAAATTTTTATAGATTAAGATTTAAAAAATCATTGTTTTTGATCTGTGTAGCTCTGAATGTTTTGCTACTTTGATTTCCCTAAAGGCAAATTTGGTTTGACATTGACTAATTACTTGACACATCCTTGGAGTTGTATGTGATATCTTAGTTGTTTTAGGGCACAGAGCACTAGTTTCTTAGACCTCAAATGAAGATGTATGTTTCCACATACTAAACTGTACATTTTTTTTTTCTTCAGTCCGAATCATCATTTTGCTTTTACGTTTCTACAGTCACAGTGATTCTAAAACACTCAAAGGCTGGATAGGTGACTTAGTGAGGGAAGCAACTAGCTTGTCTTGCCTGGGACTACATTTGAATTGAGTCTGCCTGGGATTTTTTGTTCTCTCTAGTTCTGAGTGGACAGTTTAATCCATGTTGTTATTACACTGAAATGTTCAGCCTGACACTAACAAAGTTGAGGACTAAGCTATCTAGCAACTCGAGTAATACCTTGCTGGTAGCAAGTGGTCTCTGCAACTTGTAAAGAGGTTTCTTTATATACAGAGGTTTTCCTATTTTGTTTTAAAACCACCCTGTTTTATCTTACAGACAGAGGCTTTCTTTTCCTTTTTAGAGTGTGTCCTGTGAACAGATTTACAAGAAGCAGTATCACTGCTCAATGTGCTTATCTTGAATGCCTGGGTGGCAAGATGACAGTTTTTGTTGAAAAGAGTTAAAATTACACTGATCAGGTGAAGGCAGTTCAAAACCAAGACCTTATCAATCCTCAGTGTGAAACTGGCTCCTGTGGGTGATGTCTTTTGGAAGTCATTCACAGTGAGCTTTCTTCAAGCCTTTCCCAGCTTTTATTGGCTATGGAGATGCACTTTCCAACTGTGGGTCATGATGACGTGCACTTGATGGTCTGAGAGAAGGTGGAAGTAAACAGAGCAACTCGTGGGGTTCTGACATGTGTTGCAGTTAGGTTGTGTTGTGAGGAGTTCTTAAGGAGTTTAAAATCTTTTCAGCCCAGAACCTGACTACCAAGTATAATTCCACTGCAGGAGTAACCTGAAGACATTTATTTACACTTCATTAATGCCACTGAAGATGTTTGCATTGTGGAGGGGTTTGTCAGTGAAGCAAACTACTTTTGACACTTGAGCCAAATTTGGGGTTGAATTCAGCGATTTTTTATCTGCTGAAGTCTTCTATGAAAGATACAGGTGCCTTCCAATATGCAGGATCACTTCTGAAATGTAGTCCTTGGGCTTGGCACTACTGTGCATTTTCCAAATCAAGTAGCAGTGAAATAATCTCTGTATTTTGGAGATCAAGCTGTTGCAAAGTGTGTGGAGTTTTTGGTATTTGTCCTAAACTTGAATGTATTATTTTAAAAGTGTAAATCTCAGTGTATATGTCTTGACTCCACAATTGATGCAAGTACATTACAAAGGGAAAAAAAAACCAACCTTGAAAAGATCCTTAAAAAGAAAATGCTTCAGAACTGGTCCAGTGTTTCTTGGGGGAGTCTGTACCTGTAAAATTAACATTAGCTTTTTTGGGTACATAGCAGGGCTCAAAGTAATACCTTTTTGAATTCTGGCTCTTGGAACTGCATAGAGCAACAAAATGAATTTAAGAAACCCCAAACACTGTTTAAGATACACATGAAGTCCACTAACTCCTGCTTTATTGAAGCTGGAGGAAAGAGTGAACAAATCATTTTTGCATTCTTATATTTTGTGGAGTAGAGCTTGCTAGGTATTTGATCATCAGTTCCTTTTCCCATACAATAGGAAACTTGTAATGTTCACCTGTCAGTTTACTCTAGAACAGCTCAATGCAAGAGAAGGAAGTGTGGAACTTAAAACGAGAGATAAAAAAACAAAATTCAAATTATTAAAAGTGAGCCAGAGTTCATTGTTTCAGACCATGGTGTGTAATACTGCTTTTTGTGCAGATTGCATTCCTGAATGCTAGAAAACTGTTACACATGGGATATAATCTTGCACATCAGTTAGTGTTTAGGGATATACATTTTAATTTAACTTTTTCATTGTACTCATATTCTTTCATATGCTTGTGTAGGAATATATAATTAAATGTATAATTCTGTTGCTATGGAATGTAACTTTTTGGCTTTAAAAGCAAACTGCATAGTTCTTAGTTTGTATGAAATTCAATAGAGATCTGTAACTTCTTTATCTTTAACTTTTAGGGTTGGTAGCTTATGTCGATCTTGATGAAAGAGCAATTGATGCTCTTAGGGAATTTAATGAAGAAGGAGCCCTCTCTGTATTACAGCAATTTAAAGAAAGTGACCTGTCGCATGTACAGGTAAGGTGAGAGCCCCAGGAGTGTGAGCACATGAGTATAATTAGTATTGTGGCACTACTGACAGGAGAGTTGTAATTTAGAAATTCACTGATGTTGCTGTGTTATATTTCAAACCCAAATAACAAGTCTGTTAAAAATTGTCTTAAATGTGTAGGTATTTGAGCACAAAGCAAAAGCAAAAAAAGCAAAAATAAAAATATGTGTGCAATTGAGAAAATAGGTTAAAATGCTGTTTGGAATCTGATGACTTTTTCAATCTGACAAGTTTGTTCAATTAATTATTGTATTTTCCTGAAGGATTCTTTTGACATTTGATTTATTGCATTGACTTGAAGTAGTGACTTCATGGTATGGAGTGTAAGATTCAGTGGATTCCCAGGGCTTGTCATACACACAATTGAATTGTTTTGTAAATTGTATCTACAGAACAAAAGTGCATTTTTATGTGGAGTTATGAAGACCTACAGGCAAAGAGAGAAACAAGGCAGCAAAGTACAGGAATCAACGAAGGGACCAGATGAAGCAAAGATTAAGGTAATACTTAGAGATGCTGGTTATTCTGTACTAGCTGATGTATTACTTGTACTTAGGCTGAATGGGAACTTAAAACACATCCATACCACCTGGATAAGTATATTCACACTTGGCTTTAAGGAAGTATATGCATGATAGAGGTTCTAGAGAGAAGGGTTGTTGGAAATGCAGCTCTTTCTGATCACATAATTGCCAGAATTTAAGCTCTATAAAAACATTAATACCTGTTTAAGAATTGTCTCAGTTGTCCAGTGTTCTGCACTTCTTGGGGTGCTACATATAAAATGGAAAATAAAGGAAAGGACAAACAAGTTCTTTCCAGTGGCCTTGTAATATAAAACAAATGTTGCTGTTTATGATAGCTTTTCAAACCCACAAAACAGCAGGGTTTTTTGTAGGTTCTATCTCTTTATACATATCTTATCAAGGGTGGCAAGGAGCAGATAAAGACTTGCTTATCTTAGAATTGCTTATCTTTTTTTTTTTTCTGTATATTTTAACCTACTGCCCTCTCTCCTGTAAGTAGTCTGATTTTTTTTTTTTTTTTTTTTTTCAGGCTTTGCTAGAGCGGACTGGTTACACTTTGGATGTAACTACAGGACAGAGGAAATATGGGGGTCCTCCTCCAGATACTGTATATTCTGGTGTTCAGCCTGGCATTGGAACAGAGGTTGGTATATACAGACTAATCTGATCATTGCTTTGCATGCTTATGCAAACTCATAAATAGGAAATACTTGAAAATAAACTGTATTATAAGTTTAATGTATTGTAGAGGACAATAATCTTCTATGTGTGTCTTAATCAGTCTTTCTTACTCCTCAGTATTCTGCAAAAGACAGGAAGATAGGTTAAAGTGGAGAAAAAAGAAGTGGAATATACAAAAAAAAGGCTGTGCAAAATTTCTTAAAATTAAATCATCAGACTTCATGTTTCACCCTAAAGTTCATAGTCCATTGCTTGAAAAGTGACTGTGGATGCATGAGTAGGTGAACATGTGACTTCAAGATATTTGATGCTGCTTACAAGAAATAGAATTTAAACAACACTAGCTTGGTTTCATGTAATGTGAAAAAGACTTGGATGTTCTATGAAGTACTCACATAAAAGTTTTGAAGTGGACAGCTGAGATTAGTAATAATTAAGGATTTGTTTATTTGCTTTTGTTTCAATCTATATGAAAAAATCCTTTATGATTGTGTGGACCAATATAATGAAACTAGCACAACTACTACCCTGAAAAGAGGCTTTGTAGCTTCAGGGTTTTGTTTGGTTTTTTGTTGTTGTTGGGGTTTTTTTCCCCATTTTTGCACTTAGAAAGATGACTTAGAGGTTGTTTACCAACTTAATGGTGTTTCCAGGGTGATCATGTGATGTATAAAGTTATTAAAATTGCACTGTGTCTCACTGACATAAAGAAACATCTCTACCAAGAGGGTGGTCAGACATTGAAGAGGCTTCCTGGAGAGCTGCTGGGTGCCTCAGGTTTGTCAGGGTTTAGCAGCATTTGGACAGTGCCTTTAATAACATGATTTACCTTTCAGTCAGCCCTGGACAGGCCACTGGACTGGCTGATCACTGTATGTCCCTTCCTACAGTGAACTGCTCTCATGACTGAAAGTCCTTCACTACTGCTCTTAAGTGTATTGTCCAGTGGTGGTGTGGCCTTTTAGGGGTTCACAGGAAAGCCATAAATTTAGCTGCACTTTCATACTATGAAGAATATGCTTTTCTATTTTTAGGTTTCCTGAAGCTAGAACAAGTAACTTGTGGAAACTCCCTTGAATCAGCATTAGAAGCTGTAGAAAACCTCAGCCAGAAATGATACCTCTATTAAATGACTGCATTGCTGGCATTTTGTGGGATTTAAGGGCTGGTTACTGACTTAGACATGCTGGTTGGTGTAACAGCCTGAGACACTGAACATGTTGCTGAATCTGGTTGCTGTTGAGCTCTAATGCACAGTGATCAATTTAAACAGGATCCTAGGATTTGGTGGTAGGCAGAGCATGTTTGCACATAAATTATGAGATCATTGTGGGCACTTCCTGCCATAATGAGGTGGGAGGGGTTTTGGTTTTTAGTGGTGTTTTTTTTCCTTTTTTATTAAGTCTTGAGATTTACTTCTTGGGTTTTTTTTTGACACTTCTGGTTATATAGTAGTGTATATGCTTCTTTTCCAATGTTAGGGATAAAAAAAAATTAAAAGTATTCCTTTGGACATTTTGACAGTAACAGTGCATTTTTTTGTCTGAAACTTATTTAAATAATAGTGAAGCTCTTGTGGCTTGTGTCAGCTCAGACAGATGCAGATCTGTCACTCATGTGACAATAATGGCAAACATTTGGTTCTTGAGGATTCCCAAGTACTATTAATGATTTGAAGATGTGTTCTAAACTTCTTTCCCTCTAAGGTGCATCAGGTCTTTCTGCTGTAAATATCTGTACACCAACTAATTTTTAAAACATAAAGTGGAATTCATTGTATGTTAATTGTAGCTTTGGCTCTCAAGATACAGATGAACATCTTGAGAGCTAAAGCTGCATTCTGCAATAAAGCTAAAGTATTAATAAACTGAATTCTGGCTGCTCAGCATGCTGAACATTAACAGACTGGCACAGTGAGCACTTGGCTGAAAGGACTGGGTGGGTGAAGCAGTTGAGTGTATTTTTTTAAAGTGGGTGAGCTTTAAGAGCAGTTGGACTTTTTTGGAATGTGATTCTGTAATAAAGACAAAGTTACAGCTGTGTAGAAGGTTTTAAAGAAGAAAAGAATGGTAATAGGATTTGTTTTATAATATTGAGTATTCCTTTTACTGAAGGACTTGCTGCTCCACTGTAAGGTATTTTGCTTATAGTGAATCCACATGATGTTGATACTTGGTATTTGGGGTGTCTGTTGATGAGAATTAAAGCAGTTATTTGGGTGTTTCCTTCTCTTTTACATTCACTTTGTCCTTTGCATCTGCACACACTGATAACTGCTTATCCTGGGGGGCTCGTGCAGTGCTCCTTTGTTCTGCTTAAAATTTCTGACATCTTTGTTTCTCTCCTTTTCTTACCCCTTGTTACACCTGCTGTTCTTTTTAAAGTTAAAAGATTGTTGGAAGAGTTTCAAAGACTTTAAATGTTTTTTTCTTTCCAAAGGGCTAAATCTAGTCTGTAAGCAATTATTTGGAAATTTAAGTTTATAATTGAATCTGTGCATCTTCCTAGCAAGCTGTGAGCAAACTTAGGTTTGGTTATGAAAAAAAACCTGTGTATTTCTTCACTTAGCTGTTCCTCAAGGTTTTAGTCCCTAGCAGGTTGTTCTGTAATGCATGCTCAACACTGTGTATACTCTGTCACACTGCTGTGTGTCCAACACAGGAGTTCTTTCAGAGATTTTTCTATAAACCACCAGACTAGATTTGAGAAATATCTTTCAATTTATAAAGAAATTTTCCATTCTTTGAGATGCTGAAGCTCTTGTGTTTATTGTCAAGAAGATGTCAAGAAATATCACAGGATGATTTCTAAAGGGAATGTTCATATTCCATGAAGGAAAATTAATTTTGTGATGGTGTTAAATAATTAAAATGAGTTCTTGAACTGAAAGATAACTGATGCATGTAACTTCTCAGGCTCTGCTTAGGTCTTTGTGCTCTATGCTAATTGAAGTTTTGTCTTTAAAAGGCCCAAATGAGTTAGAATTAAGTGTTCTAGAAGTAATGACAATGTAAGTACCTATTTAGAGGAATATCTTAAGCTTTCTAGGGAGATGGTGGGGAAAACGTTTTCACTCTGCCATTAAACTTTCACTTAGTGTGATTAATCATTTCCTTTTCTTCCCAATAAGTAATGTTCAGTCAACAATCACACTGAACTGAGAGAGGCTAAACTTCTAAGAAATGTTCTGGAAACTGAATTTCAGGAGTATCTATAACACAAAATCTCTAGAAGTTCTACTGTGGTCTGTGGTTTTCAAGTTAGTCACGTTCTGCTCATGAGTTTGTTATTTTGGTGCTTACATGGGCATGCTGAGTGTCTTTAGTTCTGAAATTCTGCTCTGCCTTCAGTGTGAGATACAATTATGACAAGGCCTTACTGAGAAGGAAAATGTTGATTCGTGGCTTTTTTTTCTACAAAAAGTGTTTGAAGTTAAAATAAATGTATTTTGATCTTAATGGGTGTTTGGAATGTTTTGTTTGTATTAACAAGGAAGAGGTTTTGAGAATTCAGAGGAGAGTTGCAGTGATTAAACAACTGGAGGATCTTTCTGGGGAGACCTCAGCTTAAGATATTAACTCCTGAACAAAACCCAAGTTAATTGTAAGGAACAAAACCACAGGAATTTGCAGGTTTGCTTAAGTAAATATTAAACATTCAGTTGGTGGAAGCCGAAACAAATACAGAGAGACAAGACTACAGTGTATATTAAAAGTGGAAAACATGCATCAAGCAATGAAAAGGAAATAATAATTATTAAATTATTTTTCCATTTCTGTAACTTTCCAAGGAAGATTAATTTACAGAGTGATTTGATAATACTGCATGAGCAAGGAAGTGCTTGGCCTGCTTTAACATATGATACCCAACTAGATAGTCTGTAAGGTCTTAGTTTTTAACTGCCAAAACTAAAGCCAGGTAAGAACCATTTATCTCTTCAGCAGGGGAGATTCACAGCCTGTTCAATATAAATAACAAACCCACGTTTTCTGTGTGCAAAACCTCATACAAATGGCAGGAGGATTTAGAGCACTTGGGACATACAATAACAGCAGCTGCTGTGAAGGCTGCACTGGTCACTGCAATGTTTCTGCTCTGCTGATTTATCTGCATTGTTCTTCCTTTCCCAGGAAATTTCAAGTCTTAAAAAGAAGCTTATATTTCTGAAAAAGCTTTGTTTCAAGTGTCCTGTTCCTTTTTAGGTTTTTGTTGGTAAAATTCCTCGAGACCTTTATGAAGATGAATTGGTACCGCTCTTTGAGAAGGCTGGTCCAATTTGGGATCTACGTCTCATGATGGATCCTCTTTCTGGTCAAAACAGAGGTTATGCTTTCATTACCTTTTGTAGTAAAGATGCAGCACAAGAAGCAGTCAAACTGGTGAGTTAACTTACTTCCAGACAGGTCAAGACAAAGTAAACAGCAAACATGTTGGTAATTTCTTAAGTAACGAAGTCTTTGAAACATCCACTGACAGACTCAAAATTTTACTTTCTTAAAAACTGCCTCCTGATTTCATTAGTAAGTACAGATATTTATAAAACTGTTATCTGCTGTACCTTACTGCATCTGATCAGAGTACTCAAGTGATTGATAGGAGCCTACTTGATTCCAGCTAGAAAGTTCATTTTTTTAAGCTTCAATGTGTTTGAAGTTTCATCACCCTTTCTACTGTAAAGAGCTGATTGGAGATGCCTTGTTTAGCTGCTGCTGCCATGGAGGAGATCTCTGAGTTAATTCCTTTGGTCGTTTCCTGTGGCCTTTTGTTCTTTCCTGTCTTGCAGTCTCCTCACTGTTTGGAAGCTGCCATGCCTGCACCTAGGCAGTTTGGGAAAGGACATGGAGCAATAGGGGGTTAAAGGGAGGGACAGCACTCTGACTGGGGCCTTGCCTCTGCCTGAGAGGGAAAAGTAGAATTAGGCAGATTGGAGTGTATGTCCCAGGACTTTGGATATGCTATGAAATACTTGTTGTATACTTCGAACCAAAACAGTTGAAATACCTAATCTCAATTACCTCAGGGGAATTCAGCTCATCCTGAATGAGGGATGAAGAAGAGGGGTAAAATCTGAACACTTTATTTAAGATGGTGAGGGCAGGGAAACCTGAAACCTGGAGAAACTTAAAAGCAGTTAAAACCATATGGGCCTTCTTCTTGTGTCCACAGGGCACCAGTGGGAATGGGATTGATTGTAAGCAACATGGCTTTGCTTAAGATACAATGTGAAAAGCAGATTCAGGTTATAAGTTCCTGGCACCAGAACAAAAAGTTTTACTGTGTTAGGAATGATTTTAGTATGTGAAGCAAAATTCTGAAATGCTTTTGTCTTCCTTGAAGTGATCTTGTTTGATGATCTGTGGTACCTTAACATTTTTCTAGAACGTGAAGAAAGTTCCTGAAGCCATTGCTGTCATTTTTAGGGCTTATGTCTCAGCTAGAGTTAGAATGGCTAAAAACCTGCTTTTAAAGAATTTCAGGAGATTTTCAGAAGCTGGCTGATGATGAAACATCCATCCTCTTTGCTGTGTTTGAAAATCCTGTCTAAAACAAAGACCATGTCTATCTTGAATGGGTTTTTTTTAAAGGCTGAATTCTTGTACCTTTAAAGGCCTATTGGGAGTCTTTGTTTCCAGAGTAATCCAGCTGTGGGTACAGGCATGAAGCAGTGGACTAGATTTTTTTAAATGGAAGTTTTAAATCTTGATGGTAAAATTTTTTGATCCTATCATGTACAAAGTCAACAAAATGCCTGCTCTTGGGGGTGGAGTAGAAGCCAGGTCACAGACTGATTTATAGGCTGTTGATTGTCTTGGCAAACTTCCTCAGTGTTCAAAGCTATCCAAGGAAAGAGGAATAGCTCCCATTATCTTTAATGCCATGTATTTGCTTATTGATAGCAGCAGCAGCAGTCTACTGACAGCAGAGGAAGCAGTAACCAGTTGCTAGAAAGATCTTTCAAGTCTGAGATAAACAGTAGGTGAATAAATTTATGCCATGCAATTTGTATATGATCCCATTGTTCCTGTTACTGCAATTTTTTTGTAGTTTTCCATTGAACAGGACTTCTGAAGTTTATGGAAATCCTAAGCTTGGCACTGTTCTTCCAAGTGAATGCCAACACAAAAACAGCTGTTCTAGGCTATGCCAATTCAGTGTGCTATGAATAAAAGTAATAGATGATGAAGAAAATACCTGATTTTATGATTTGGTGATTTTTTTCTGCATAGTATTGTGGATAAAGCAAACCAATGGCTTTGTTTTTTCAGTGTGACAACTATGAAATCCGTCCAGGAAAGCACCTTGGAGTATGCATCTCTGTGGCAAACAACAGGTTATTTGTTGGGTCAATTCCAAAGAACAAAACTAAGGAAAACATATTGGAAGAGTTTGGTAAAGTCACAGGTAAGACTTAATGAGTCCCAGAATACCATTTAGTCTCTGTTTTGTAGGTTTAGTTGTTTGACAGATGTGTTCAGTTATCATTTAAACTATTTTCAAGTTGAATTCCAAGTTTGATTTTGTTAGAAATTTTATATATGTATTATATAAAATTATATATGTTAAGGTGGAGTGCAAAGGGACTTGTGTTTGTTTTAGTGATTGTTAAAGGAATGATGATGTAACTTTACAATTAGATGGAAACAGCTCAAATGAACTCAGACAAACCAGCACACGTGAATTCAGAAAAAAATGAAGGTCCTCATTCTGTTACCTGTTTTAGCTTTCTCTTGAAGGCTCTGTATTTGTAACTGGATCTACAGGAGGTTCTGCTGTCAACATGGAGAAGTGTTTTGGGAAGCTCAAAGCAAATGTATTCCTGAGCAGTGAAGGGGAGGGGGGAATACTAAATTGGTTTAGAGGGAATATTATTAGAGAAATAGTTAATAACACACTAATTTTTGTCCCAGTTTTTCAGCATTCTCCACTATGTGCAGCATGTAGGAAGAAGAGAAGTCAGCTCATCCCTGAAAGGGGACTTCTGCCTTAGATAAGAGTTTGAGTCACTTGCTCTTGTTTCTGTAGGAGAGCTTTAACCTCCTGCTTCTTTTTTAGGATTGCTATTTATAAGTATTCAGGGGAGTGGTGAAAACAGAAGGTGAATATTCATTTAGTTCTCTCTCCTCTTTTTTGGAGAGATGTGCAAGATATTCCTTCTGAGTTCCACAGGAGGCAGGGGAGAGGTCATGTGTTAGTTCTGGCTGCCTTTCAAAGATGTAAAAATTATTTTAAAAGTATAGAAAACTTAAAATTGTGTGACTTGCTGAAGTTTATATTTTGCAGAGCCTAATTATGAGGTAAGTTTCTTCTGTAGAATTTCACTTGCTAGGTGACTTGGTTTTGGGTAAATTGGATGGATACCTGCTATTCGTTTTGCTTTTCTTGTGCTCCCACCTTTCACGTGTAAAATGCAAATTCACTACAAAATAAAAGGGAAGGCATTTTAGGGTAGACTAGATTTTATTCTTTCCTTTTGAAGCTCAGTACTAAAGATCTGTTTTTCAGAGGGTTTGGTGGATGTAATTTTGTATCATCAACCTGATGATAAAAAGAAGAATCGAGGATTCTGCTTCTTGGAATATGAGGATCACAAATCAGCAGCTCAAGCTCGCCGACGCCTGATGAGCGGGAAAGTAAAAGTTTGGGGAAATGTTGTTACAGTGGAATGGGCTGATCCAGTAGAGGAACCTGATCCAGAAGTTATGGCAAAGGTCAGTAAAGACTTCACTGGAGGAATTTCTTTATGCCATATTGACAAAGATTTGTTGCAGCTGAGCAAGGCTGGTTTTGAGGCACAAAAAGCAATTAGAGGCATTTTCACAGTAAGCTGTGCAAATGGTGTGGTGTGAGCACTGCAGATGAGTTGCTGTTGGAAGATACTGGAAATGTGCTGTCACTAATTATTGAAACATCTGAACTAGTCCTGTGCAGGGTTATCCTGTTGGATTGACATGTCAGGCTGTGCATTTTGTGCTTTAGCTGTGATCAGTACCAGGTAGGTATTGTGTAAATCTGTTTTCCAGAGTGAGGTGAAGGTGAAGTTCAGCCTGTGAAATGATGTGCGCTTTATCCCAGTGTTTTGGGGTAACTCTTTGCTGTCCTTGAGGCCTATTATTAAAATTTTGCTGGGATTTGTAGCATCCCAGAAGCAGAAAATCAAAATTGGATATTCTTCTGGTTATGGAAGGTAACGTGGAAGGAGAGAAGTTGTAGAAACTTCATGCAGGTAACTATAAGGCACTTTTTTTTTTTTTTTTTTAACAGATACAGAATTAGTAGAGTTACTCCTTTTTTTTTTTTTTTTTTTTTTAACAGATACAGAATTAGTAGAGTTACTCCTTTTTTGTTGCATTAAGGTATTTGGGTAATATCTTACTACCTGGTGGCTTCCTTTGAGGTTTGACTTTTAAAAATTACATCTTTATTCTCATTTTTTCACCAGGTTAAAGTTTTATTTGTAAGAAACTTGGCCACTACTGTGACAGAAGAAATTCTTGAGAAATCCTTTTCTGAATTTGGAAAGCTGGAAAGAGTAAAGAAATTGAAGGATTATGCATTTGTTCATTTTGAGGACAGAGGTGCAGCAGTGAAGGTAGGTTGATTATTCTTTCCTAGCTAAGTTGGTGAGAGAACTTTATTTTGTACAAATGGTTTTAAGAAATTTCTTTACAGTAAATACCTCGATAAAACAAACCATAGAGCCCACTTAATAAGGTTCCCATTGTGAGAATTTTAATGCTAATAATTTTGTTCCTATGATTTCAGTAGCTAGGAGGATGTGGAACTTGAAAGGACAAAACTGTAGCAAGTTAACAAGTAGACTGGAAAAGAGGTGTAGAACAATGCAGGAGAGTCTAGAGAAGAGGAAATAAAAAAAGATTAACCTAGACAATTTTTCTGAGGAGACACTGGCAGAAGGTATCAGACCCCTATATAAAGGCTGTGTGCAGTTTTGGAGTGACAAAAGTATCAAATAGAAAGTGGGAAGTAATTAAAAAATGTTTTGTGAAGGAGAGGAGTGTTGACAACTCTTTAAGCATGACCTGCCTGTGCCCAAGGCTTCTGTAAGCCTAAGGGTTTTCTCTTTTGTGTCCATCAGCTGTTGAGAAGGTCATTAATATCTGCTGTCTGTGCTTCAGTGGATTAAATTCTGTAGAAATTACTCCATCTGTTTTTTAAAATCCATGGTTCATGGGGGAAAAAAGGAGAGTAGGAAGTGTTCTTGTATTTGGGAGTCTTGAAGCAGATATATTGTATTTGGTGCATGTGGCTACATGGACAGTTCAAAGGCTCTGTACACCATCTTCTTATTAATGATTTTATAGCCATTTAATTGCTTAGCATTTTACTACACGTGAGATTAGAATGCTCCTGAGTACGGCTTTAGGATGAATTTCACTTATATTTAATGAGGTTGAAGTTAGTTTGGATAGGTTTAGACCATGTCAGAGGGAGGAGAAGAAATTGTTGAAACAAGGGCTAAGTCAGCAACACGTTCTGTGGCTGTGGTGTTCTGTAGGATGTGTGTAAACCCCTTCCCAGTACAATTACCTGCTAAATGCTCTGTTAGATTTCAGCAACTGGAAACTTGGAGCTGTTGGGAAAAAGATAAAATGCATCACTGATACTCACCTCAAGGTGGAAATCACCACATCTGGCTCATGTGACTGCTTCATGGCCATGAAATTGGCTTATGAGCTTGATGAGATATTTTTGTGTTTTAGCTTTCATTGAGATTGTTATGGTATTTGTGTGTGGAATGCATGGAACTGGCTCGTTGATTCTAGTGTCTACTGATTTTCATATGTTCTTGGAAATAAATTGCCATAATTTCTGATGCTTTTGAGACATGTAGGTGTACAGACACAATGTCTCCATTAATGCAAATATTAATACCCAAAAAAGTTCAATGCAAAGCAGCTAAGTCCAGGTGAGGAATTGGGGTCTAGTCCTAATTGTACTTTGTGCATTAAGTTCTCATTGTGGGTGCATTTGATAGTATAAAATTGCACATGAATTTTCTGGAGAATTCAGGGCTTGCTTGAGGAGATCACCAAGTTTCAGTAATATTTTTAGGTTTTTTTCCCTCAAGTATGTGTCCTCAGAACTACTTGATTTTCTCAGTCACTTGACTCACATTCAGCTACCTGATGAATGTAACAATTCTTTCTCTGGTATGCATGTATTCTACCAGGCTTATAAGTGCAGTGAGTGTTTATGTCAGTGTGTCAGTATTTCTGAAAGGTTTCTAGGAGATACAGGAACATTAAAAACTCATGGTGCTACGTCTGACTTTATAAATAATCCTATTTTTTCTCTTGTGAAATAAAGAGCATATTTAAAAAAAAAATACTGCTTCCCTGTAACTGGTGAATAAAGTAGGACTTGGAAAAACGACGTGTAACATTCTGTTTATGTAGCACAAAAGCAAAAAAGCACATGGCACAGCTCAGTCTAGAGCAGCCCAACTGTCTGGTTTCTTGTAGTAAGTTTTAGTTCCCTTTTGAATGGAAAAAAATTTTTAGTTGTTTTTCTTTTAATTTTTGTACAGGCTATGAATGAAATGAATGGGAAAGAGATAGAAGGGGAAGAAATTGAAATAGTATTAGCAAAGCCACCGGATAAGAAAAGGAAAGAACGTCAGGCTGCCAGACAGGCCTCCCGGAGCACTGCGTGAGTGTCACCCTCCACTGGGTAATGCTGCACAGTGCAGCTGTGCTGTGAAACGGGGGCTGGTTTAGAGGAACCCGAATGACTTCACTTTTCTCCACGTTGCATATTGTTAATCAACAAGGACAAATGCTGTATGCTGTATTTTGGGTTGCTTTTGGAGAGAAAATAACCGTGTGTTTCTTTTCCTTACTAGGTATGAAGACTATTATTACTACCCTCCGCCTCGCATGCCACCTCCTATGAGAGGCCGAGGCCGTGGAGGACGAGGTGGATATGGCTATCCCCCAGATTACTATGGCTATGAAGATTATTACGATGATTACTATGGCTATGACTATCATGACTACCGTGGTGGCTATGAAGATCCCTATTACGGCTATGATGATGGCTATGCTATAAGAGGAAGAGGAGGAGGAGGAAGGGGTGGGAGAGGTGCCCCTCCACCACCTAGGGGGCGGGGAGCACCACCACCAAGAGGTAGAGCTGGCTACTCACAGAGGGGGGCACCCATGGGACCGCCGAGAGGAGCCAGGGGGGGGAGAGGGGGCCCTGCGCAGCAGCAGAGAGGACGCGGTGCTCGTGGAGCCAGGGGCAACCGTGGGGGCAACGTAGGAGGCAAGAGAAAGGCAGATGGGTACAACCAGCCTGATTCCAAGCGCCGGCAGACCAACAACCAGCAGAACTGGGGCTCCCAACCCATCGCTCAACAGCCGCTCCAGCAAGGTGGTGACTATGCCGGTAACTATGGTTACAATAATGACAACCAGGAATTTTATCAGGATACTTATGGGCAACAGTGGAAGTAGACAAGTGAGGAGGGATTGAGAATATTGGAAACATAGAATTGGCTATAGCTCTACATCTTTCAAAAAAAAAAAAAAAAGAAAAAAATTGGCTTAATGTTTCATCCTTCAGTAGCGATTGGCTGCCATTTGTATTGGGCTGAAGAATCACTATTGTGTATATACTCGAGTCTCTTAGTTTTCTTTTTTCATAAACGCACTTGGACATTACTGGGCTTGCAGAACTCCTGAACTCCATATGGGGTTTCAGCGCTTTTATCATTTTAGGCTTCATTTTAGCAGTTTAAAAGCAGGAATGGCACACTGTTCAATCATGATTTTGCAGAACCTCTGGTTTTGGACAGTTTCTATTTTTTTTTTAATTTTTTTTTTTTTTTTATTTTTTTTTTGATTTGGGATAGACTACATAGGAGTATGCTGTACATAAAAGTAAAAGCTAGTGCTTTGTCTTAGTAGTTTTAAGAAATTACAACAAATTAAGTTTTCTTGTATTGAAAATAACATGATTGTATGTTTTGCATTCCTAGAAGTAGGATAACTGTGTTTTTAAATTGTTATAACTTCACACCTTTTTGAAAATCTGCCCTACAAAATTTGTTTGGCTTAAAACGTCAAAGCCGTGGCAATTTGTTCCTTGATGTGATTGTATTTCCAATTTCTTGTTCATGTAAGATTTCAATAAAACTCAAAAATCTATTCAAAACATTACCTATTTCAAATTCAATTGTGTCCTAAAACATTATTTCATTGGTAATTCTTGTGAAAAATATTGTTTTCAAAGTATAACTGCCTATGTGAGTGATCAAATTCATGCAAAATTTCCTGTGCTTTCCAACATGTAGCACTGTGGACATCAGACTGAAAACTAGGAGAAATTACAGACAACCCAAAAGGCACTCACTGTCTAATTGCTGTTCAATAATTTATCAGCATCTAATTTTGAAACTTTTTTTTTTCCGATTTAAAAGTGTTGAATTGTATCCAAGCATTCACAGAGATCTAAATTAAATCTAGTCTTGTAATGTGGAGCAGGAAACAGATCCTACAATGGTGTTAATTTTGTACCTTTGATGATGTCCTGTGGAGTCCCTGTGGAGGCTGTTCTGGTAGGATCCAGCCTTATTGTATAATTGAGCATATAAGCACACAGGGAAATTATTTTGATCTCTAAGCATCTTAGTCTAATCTAAAATAATACTTGACCAGGAATGAGAATTACAACTTGGGTGCTGTGGCACACTAAACTAACTTCTTGCTACAGATAACACAAACATGCTCTCCAGATTCTGCTTATTTCTATCTTGACATTTTAATTTGATGTTCTGCCATGATGAACAATTTGCCTTAGAATTCTCCTGCCTTATAATAAAGGCTGTTTAAAAATTTAAGACTTTATCTTTTGAGGGCATTGCTAGCTACATTATATTATGTGTTGCTTTGACCCTTGTCTTGGACATTCCCAGATGTCAATTTTAACTGGCAAATCATGACATTACTCTTGTGTTGCATCTAAGCCATTCTGTACCCCAATGAAGAACATTTGCTTCTCAAGAAAAGAGAGAAACAAACGGATTTATACTTTCTCTAAAGAAAACTATTGCCGGACCTCTAAGTATCCAAATCCAATACATTGCTCATACTTGATTTACAGCATTCCAAACACAGACTATTGAGGAAGTTAAACTTCATACTCCTCCCTTTGTCTTCTATTCCTGTCTGGTGTCTCAAGTGTGTTATGTCAGAATATACCCAGTAAGATGAGCCTGCCCACTCTGCTGTGGATCTGGAATGGGATTGCAGGGTTTGAGTTGTGACCTGAATCGAAGATGTTTATCTGCTTCTCAGAAATGGCTTTGCCCATGGCAGGCTCTTCCAGTTAATAGAATTGGTCATAAGTAGCTTAAAAGTGCTTTTTAAAAAAAAATCAATATCTAGTATGTTGGGGTTTGGGTTTTTTTTCCCCCCACTTCATAAAGTTAATGGGGCCAAACCATGTCCTCTCTGTTTTTACCTGAGCAGTGAACTCAGAGGGCTATTGCCTGACTATATATCCAGGCTTTCACTTGTGATAAGGATGTGGCTTGTAATTCTGTTCTAACACAAAAGTTTTGTTGCCCTATCCATATGACTTTCTGGTAGTTTTACAGCTGCTGTAGTGCTGAGCAGAACCCTGTAGTCCCAATAAGTATTGGCTTTTTAGTATTCATTGTAAAGGGAGTCTAGTACAAGGAGCTTAATTGGAATCATGTTTCAAGTCCTCTCCATCTTGGAAGAAGGTAGTGTTCCCATATTGCACGTTAGCCTAGGAGAGGTGAGGTGCTAGTAAATGCTGTGGGGGGAGTGGGGAGGAAGTGAAACACCTCAGTTATAGTGGTTACAAAACAGCTGAGAAACAAAAATGTTTAAATTATCTTCCTCGAGAACTAAGGCTGCGTCTTGGATTTACTTTTGCCCAAATCACCATTTATACTGGTAGTTTTATAAAATATGAAGAGTGAGCTAAACAGTTTTATAAATGAAAATAACAGTTAAACTCAGTAGAAGTTTATATTTACAAGATACATCGAGTTCTTTGATTTAGATGGTTTATGGCTACTCAAATTCACCTTTTAAATTTGCAGCAGTACTTTTATTTAATGCTTAGATAAGGTGTGCTCCAGCTTACTTGAATAGTGGTGTGTGCTGAACTTGAAGAACTTAATGAAATGATGGAAAAAAGTTACCAAGCAAAGATACTGTAGTACAGTGTAAAAAAACTACCATGCCTGACTCAAGGGAAGAATTTCTCAGCACAATTTTGACATCTAGTTAAAAAATAAATTTAAATTTACTCTCGTGCATTTCTTTTGATTGTTTCTTCAGTCTAACTTAGCAAAGATCCTCTATAATATGTTGAAAATGGATTTCAACTTGCACACCAATATTCAGCTTTTATGAGTGTCCTACTGGCATTGGAGGAGGAGCCATGAAATGGAGTTTTAGTAATCATTTGATCACTCATTTATAGCAGTTGCTTAAATGTCTGTATTGATAAGGTCTTTGACTTAAGAAGCAAGTTACCAGATTCCTAGCAGTTCCAAAACTTGAGCAAAATACTTTTACAGCTACTGTGTTATTATATACTTAATTTCACTTTATTAACAAGTCAGTTTGCTAAACTCAATTTATAATTTTACTATTTCATTCAACGTAGTTTGCATTTTTTCAGAGTGTTAAAAGGTTAATTTTTTCTAGCAATTGTTTATTTTTAAAACTCGGCTTCTGTAGTCTGATTATTAAAAGATGACAACTGCATTGCTTAAACCTTCCCAAAATAAAATTGAAGTAGAAGATCACCGCATGATTTGGTGACTCTGTATAAAAACCTGACCACTTTTTGTCCCTTCCATGTTTGGACATTAAGCCCATTTCTGTAATTTGAACTACGCAGAAAATAAAATACAGAGGGCACTCTTATTATAAGGCTAGGAGAGATATAAATGTGAAGTGCTGAGCAAAAAGTCTTAAACCTCAAAAACATTTGGTACCAAGACCTATAGACCCTACTGAATGAATGTGTTTTCAGCAAGACCTAATTGTTACCCAAAAATGCTGGTGGCCCATCCATAGAACAGCAAGGACCTATCCTAGAAATCAGTCATCAGCAATCTTTGATTATGCATGACCTGAGGTGGAGTATGTGTGTGATTAAGGATTGCTTGGACGTGGAGGTTGTCAGTGGGATTCTGTCATTCACATGAACTATGTGAGTAGCTCAGAGCCTTATAGAAAGAGTGTACCACGTTGTGTTCCTGTTTTTTTTTTTCTAAAACAACAACCAAAAAAAGAAGTTAGAGCTTCTGTTAACTTAGAATTTGAATGAAGCTGTTGTAGTTTGTTGGCTTAAATTGTCCTTTTGAAACCCAGAGCAGTTTTGTTGAGCATGTATTAGTTGATAAAATGTTTAGAGTAAGAGAGAAAAAAAAAATCACTTGTAGTAAAGGGAAACCATAAGCTTTTGGTCTCATTCAAATAAAATAGTCAAGGTGGATCTGCGATACTTGGTTATTGATCAGGAACTTCTGAAATTTTAGAACAGGAGAATCCCTCTGAAGAAATGTTTTAACAACTTGGAGGTTACCAGAAGCTCTGAAAGACAGTTCAGAATATATTTTCTGATGTCCAGAAATCTGCAAGTGTCAATTTTGTATTTTAACTCCTTCCTTTTACCTGACTATCAGGGAAGCGTGGTTGAGGCTGACCTGACATGTCATGATGTCGACTTGCTAGGTGGGGTTCGCAGGGGACAATAACCTTGGAGTTATCGGTAAGAAACCTTTCTTTCTCATTTCCTTCAGTAAGCTGAGAGGGTTGGTGTGGGAGGAGGGAGGATATGAGCTCCACAGACCTGAGCAATGGAATAGCTTTCAAAATCTGCCATTACCATGGGAGAGATTGCAAGTGTGGAAGGTAAAGGTTGAGATTAAATTTGTCCAAGAAAGGCATGGCATAGGTTCTTGAAATTGATTTGAAAATAAAGATGGCCTGCACTTCAGAAGAAAGGTGGATGCTCTTTAAGGGTGCTGGAAGCATAAAACATTTTGAACATTTAAATTTTTCCTCTCTAATTAAATCCAGGTATGGGTTGGATTTCTTTCCCCAACTGTGGAAAAGCAAAGAATTTGCAGCACACTTCTTCAAAGTTTAAGAATGCTGTTAAGAAATGTGTCCAAGTAGATCTCTGGAAAATAATAAAATTTTGCCTTGAAAATAACAAAACTGGCATATCATGAGTTTGAATCATTTACATATTGAATATGATAATGCTTAGAAGGCACTAATTGAGAGAAAATGGCTTTTGTACCAAAGGACAGTTGTAGTTGATCCCATTATAAAATCCCACTGGATTTTAATAATCATCTCTTTTTGTGGAGGGTATATGTTGATTCTAGACAAACAAATAGCAAAAGCTGAAGAACAGGTTTGCAAATCAAATACTTGGACATGTTGAATTCTTCATGGCACCTGCTCATCTTGCACCTTTCCTCAGCCAGCAGACTTGTCTTTTCCTGCTTGTTCATGCAGTACTTGGAAAGGAGCAGAGAAGTTGGAAAAGCTTACTAGGCTAGAGGAGCATTCCAGGTGCACTCATTGTTTACCGTGGGACTGAATAGCATGCCTGTTCTGACACCAACTGCAGAAGAAATGGGCCTGGTGAGTAGAGGTATTTTGTAAGGGTTTTTCAGAAATGAAGTATTTGTTTAATTCCAGATAAACTTCACTCGGCATACTGCGACTTGAGAACAGTTATGATCACACAAAGTCATCAGTGGTGTTCACTTGAAAGATGGTAAACAGAAAAAAGAGGATCTCTTAATTCTGGATTTTCCAATCTGTATGTCCCATAGAGCTGCTGATAGTGAGTGCAGTGGGATGTGTTGCACATGCTCAGGTGGCCTGTCTCTGGGAAAGGAAGCAGATGGCAAGGTCCTTACAGGAGAAAGAAAACACTGAAAAGCAGACCAAATTCCAGTTCTGCCCTTCTTGCTTCAGACACAAGCTTCACTTTTTTCCTACCTAAGCACCAGTGAGCATACAGTCTTCTCACTGGATTTTCCTGTTGAACTTCCTGCAGAGCTTGTGTAAGTGTAGGATACACAGTTTTTTCCCTGTTTTTCAATCTTCACTGCAGCCTGTGAGAGGTGATTGTATTTCCGTTTTAATTTCAAGGAATGAGCATCCATTGCATCAGCACCTGTTCACATGACATTATTCTTTCTGACATGCCTTCAGACATTTCAGATTTGGTGTGCAGAAGGTGCATACCCAGCTGGAATTTCAGAGGAGCTGTGGTGTAAGCATTAATTTCATGATAAGAAAGGAATCTAATTCTGGAGAGCTTTCAGCTGTCTTAGCAATGGATGCTTCTTCCTGTTCTGAAGTTCCCTGCTGTGCTGCTTTAACTGCTGCAGAAAAAGGGAAGTGAAAAGCTGCATGGGCTAAAAGTCCTGTGATTAAAAATAGTTGCAGTTCTTAAAAAAAGCCAAAACCAAGCAAACAACCATTACAAAAAATCCAAAGTCCCAAACAAGGAAAGACAGCATGGCTGTGCTCACAGAACCCTGTGGACTGGGCACCTTTTCCTTCTCTCCCTGGGGAGGACAGAGGAGCTGCAGTAGTGTCCTTGCAGGTAGGTGTTGGCTGGTCAGGTTTGGGAGACACCCCCCTAATGCAGCAGTTCAGGAACAGCTGGATCATTTTTCAGTAAACATGAGTTATTGGCAGGGATGGCTCTAGTCTGACATCAGGTCTGGGGCCTTTCACCAGTGTTTGCTGCTCTAGGAAGAGGAAAAGAGCTGTGAAATCTTTCTGCTTTCTGTTTTTGCTGGTGTGGCCACTTCTCAGGTATTGTATAAATCTGTTCATACTGCCGTGGGCATTGTCTGCCCACTTTGGAAGTGTCCTTGATGCAATATCAGGAAGGTTAGAGTTGAAAAGGGCTGTGGTGAGGTGTTCATGGAACTCTGCTGGAAATCCAGAGATCTTGTACAGGGCTGAAAATTAAGCCAGGAGAATATTAACACACTGGCATTCTGCAAGTCAAGTTCAACAGAGTCCAAAACTGGAGGAGTGTAGATCATGAAAGGGTTCTTTAATAGCCAGATAGCTGAGCTGTAAGCTCATAAATAAGCACAGCCCTGCTTACCCTATTGTGCTTATTCCAGAAAGTTGAGCAGCCACCTTTATTCTGTTTCCAAACAATTCTAGATTAAATTTAAAATTTTTGGTGGACACAGCTTTAAAGATGACTCTTAACCATTTCTGTTGAATTTGTTTTTCTACCCCACCGATTTTTTTCAGCTATTATTTAGGGGTTCACTACAAAAACCCTATTAATGGAATACCTAGTGAGTCTTTATGCCATACATATTGGTTTGGATTTCTGTAGCTTTTGTTTTCCAAATTGCTGTACATTTGCAGGATGTTAATACATTGCATTACATCTAATAAGAAGTCTGTAGGCTTTTTCATAGAGCACTGCTGAACTGAACACATAGGTCAGAGGCAAAATTCAGTTTCAGGTTGAAGAGTGAGTCTAGCAGTTCTCCTGGTGGACTTGCCAGCAGGATTTCTCAGCTGCTTGTCGTTCAGATCCAAAGCAATACTTGACATCAGTGCTGGTCCCCTTGTTACAGAGGCTGCTCTCTGGAAGCAGTCCTTGCTACCATGATCTTGTACAAACCAATCATTGTGAGCAGAGACATTGAATTGAAGGTTCCTGAGAAATGAGGATGCTTAAACCCTTCATGGTGGCATTGTAGCTTCTACTCTTCCTTTCCTCTCTCATTGTTGGTTGGATGTTCACCTGTTCTTGTCTCCTTATGTAGAGAGAAAAAGGAGAAAAGTGTTCCCTGCAGTGTCTTGTTGAGCCAACAAGCTGCTGGTGCAGATGCAAAGCCCTGTTGCAAGGTTTGAGATTTTTTTGAGTGGACCTTGCTGTTTTTCAAATGATTTTTTGATGTGATATGTAAAGATAAAAACACTGCAGGATTCTTCAAATTTCTTTGATATTATTCCTTATCTACATGAAGTATGAGAACTTGAGTTACTAGTTTTGTCATTTCTAGATGATAGATGTTGCAGAGAAATGTAGGCATGCACTTAGGAGCTAATTTGCTCATAAAATAATTGTATGCAAAAAAACCATCATTCATCATGTTTGTGAAGCATTAAAACATGTATTTTCTTTAGTGTTCTAGTAAGCATTAAGTCTTCTCTATGTTTCTTTCATGGCAGTTCATAGAAAATAAATGTGTTTTTTCCCCTCTCCTTTTTTGCTTGACTGATTCTTAGTTGTAAAGTGTTAGCCTTTCCTCTCATGTCAAATAGATGTTTTCATCTACATGCCTTTGGAGTGGGTTCAGAAAGGTTTGCAGTGTAGCATGTAAAATCTAAAGGTCACAAATTAAATCTATTTCACTGGGCCAAAGTGGGATCCATGGAGTGAAGGCTGCACCTTCCCCAGTGTGGGAGGCTGTGTGGCCAGAGAGGTATCTCCATCAATGTAGGTCATCTTTGTTCATTCATTGGAAATAGCTTGAAAAACCCTTTTAGCAGCTCAGCTGAGGTTTAAAATAGAAGCAGCTAAAGAGCATCAAATGTGTGGCTGTATCAGTAGAAGTTGCTGAAATGAGACACAGATGTGCAAGTATTTGAGTAGCTCTGTGATTTTTCTGGTATGAGATGTGTGCACTGTGGGATGGGCAGAGTTTGTTTATACAGATGGAAGAAAACCAATGTGGTTGTTCAGCTCTTAATTGCTGTGATTAGCTCCACCCCTTCTTTGACCAAGGAATAAGTAATAATGGGAATTTGCATTTCAGGAATACATGAAAAGCAGTGCTCTTCTGTTATAGCAAAGTCTAGACTCTAGCATAATGGTTTAGAGTCCAAATTGGCAGTGGGAATAATCATCCTTCTTCTCAGAAGCAGCTCTTGGAATGTTTGTTCCTTTAACTTCAGTAATTTTCACTCGTTTGATTTTTTGGTACTGATTCTGTATTTTCTATTCTCTAATTATACAAAGGCCATATATTTAAGTTCTGGGGATGCAGGTGTGATATCCTGACTTCCCATGAAGATTATTTCTGCAGGTTAGAGTTTTTTGGCATTATGAAGAAAATTGCTTAACTTTTTGGTAGAATTGTCTTGTTTGAACTGTGAAGTGCAACTGAAAGCACGTGTCTGCAGATGTGATCTTCTGAGCAGTTCCTACTGAAATAGGCTATTTTCAGTTTTGTTTGTATGTGAACAAAGAGTGGAAGTGAATTAGCTCAGAAAGTTTTCAATACTTCTGCAGAATGACTGACCTTAGGAAAAAGAGGGGGCATCAGACATTTAGGAGAGCAGTTGTACATTAGACCACTCTAGGAGTCTTCTTCACTAATGGACTTTATTCTCCCTTCTGAAGCTCTCTTAGTGAAGAGTGGAGTTTGTCTCAGAGATCTGTAATTTGTTTGAGCTGCCTGGAGCAAATATTTTATGTTTAAGTGCACACAGGTCCTTAAAAACAAAGCTGACTTCATTCATTTCTCACAATAACACTCTGGTTTCTGGTTTGGCTGCAGTGCAGGTTTTGTTTAGAGTTGAGAATGAGATCTAGGGAAGAGCCAGGATACAGCTTTTTGTGCACTCCAGGAAGATGGCTGTAGGAGAATGAATCATACAAAAGGGTTAAGTGTGGTGGATCCCATCATTTACCACATGACTTTCCAAATGGGAAACACTTCTGCTGGTCTGATTTTCCTGGGAGAGCACTGGTTACATGTCCTTGATAGGACATGTGACCATATTTCCATACAGGCTGGCAGCCATTCCTTGCCAGAATGAGTAGCTACATTAAAGGAACCATAAAGAAGTTTCCAGGAGTTCAGCAGGAAGGCTGAGACTTTGAAATATGTGAAATGATTTCAGGTGTCCAGCTTAAGATGTGGACATGTAGTATGGACCATTCCCTAGCTGAGGACAGCTGCTGGCAAGTTATTTGTAGGTTTTCCTTTCAGTTAAAGAATAAAATAATCTGGTGATAACAGGCATATGCAAGGCCAGGAGAAATGAGTGATGTGTGTGAGATGCAGACAGTGTTTCTACTTGCTGTAGACAGGGAATAAAGCAAATGACACAGATCTGTGGGGGTGAGCAGGGGAATTCCACCCAAAGACTGGAAAGATGTGATAGATTACAGGATCTTGTTCTAAGTGTGCTGTGGAGGTGTCTGGCAGGCAGCATGCTGGAGGAGCTTGCTGTTGGACTTCAATGTAATATCTCTGAAGAGCACATTGGGGCTGTGCTTCTGCAGTCCTTTCCTGAAAGTGTGCCCACCACACACCAGTGGCCTCCACTTCTGACATGTGCATATCAGGCAAGTAAAGTCATCTCAGGATTTTGAAACAATGTATGTGAGTTCAAAAGCCTGAATTGAAGTAAAAGTTTCCAGAGGAATTTTGCATAGGCAGTTAAAGGAGTGCTTGCAGTAATATCTAAATTGCATTAAAAGAAATCTGATGTAGTCTGATTATGTAATCTCAGTCTTCTGTGTTGTTAATGTCTTAAATTTTTCTAAATATGATGGCTGGGTACAAAGTAACAATAGTATTTAGATAGGGAGAAGAAAGCTGGTCAAGTTGCAGGGTTTTTTTAAGAAAGTAACATAAGCTTTTTTTTGTTAAGAGAATGCTTGCAGTGGGCTCTATCTTTCCATTTCATCTCTTCCTCTCAGCTCGATCAGTCCCAATAGGAATGCACCCTTTGGAGAAAGGATACAGGATAAAACTGCCTTACAATCGTGGGGTGAAAATCATGGCAGCAATGAACCAGCTTTTTCCTAGCATGAAACCCAAATCCAGAGCAGTGACTTGCTTGTAGGCTGGGTAACCAGGAGAGGAGTAAGAAATACTAACACTAAATGATATCTGTGCTGTCTTCTGTGGCTGTTTCAGTTTGAGTTTCTACAAGCTTGAAATACAAAGAAGTTGTATGTTTTACATCTTTTTAACCATTATGTATTTCTTACAAAGCCTATAGTATTAAGTTAATTAATGCAGGACAGACCACGAGGATATTTGGTGTAACTTTTTTTCTATTTAAAAATACATCTTTTTCAGATACTGAGCTGGATCTGGCCATAGAGACTGTGAATTTTGCTCTTGATGTAACAGAAACATGGGGTACATAATTCACATTGATTCTCTGTTGTCAGGTACTGTGTTGGTAGGTGAAAATTAGATAATGATGCCTGAATTGATTAATCCCCTGGGCATGGAGGAGCTGCAGGGTATAAATATGTAAGAAGACTTCCAGGAGGAGGTGTGGGATTGGCAGAGCCAGGTGGATCTCAAGGAAAGACAGACTCATTTTTAATACACAGAGCCTCTGCTTGTGTTAGCAAAAAATTCTTCTCTGTTCCAAATTGAGATCACAGAACCTTTAGTGAGTAAAAACCCACAATCAGACTTTAATACCAAGAGCATGAGAATGATTGTAGTTACTTACAGAGATAAGATTGCTTGATGAAAATTGAGATGTAAGTTTGATTAGATGTTCATTTGCTTGTTAGACTCATGGTTCAGTCTTGTCATTAGAACAGTTCAGCCAGTGCAGGTGTCTTACAGCTGCTTGTAGAAAGATGGCTGGTGGCAGAATGAAAGGAGAAGCACAAGTCTGTGGCTGTGTAAATGCACACTTTTTATTTTTTCTCTATTAGTTGTCTAAATAAGCTATTTTTGAAACTGCAGTTATTAACAGCAATCAGAAATCAGGCTCTGAAGAAGTTAAAACTAGTTTTTTTATCTTCAGTACACAAGTGCCTGGACTCCTTTATTGACTAAAAATGTTTTAACTTCCATTCTCATCTCATCTCATAATCCCTGAAGAACATTCATGATGCTGTATGAGTTCAGTTGGTAAGTTACCTCTGCTTGTACTTGTGGAGAAGTTTGATTTCTGCCTTTCCTGAAAGGATTTCAGGACTTCATTTCTGCCATCTGGTATTAGAGCCTCTGCACACACACACTAGGACACTAAAGCTTTGGCACATTATCAAATCAGTTGGAGCCT